CACTCACACAAGGGTGCTCTTTTCTTGTGTGAGTGGGCAGAGGGGTAGTTTTTTCATCGGAATTATTTTAACCGTTGTATTTAATCTAATGTGGGTACATGGTGTACTAGAAAATTGAATTGTTTCCTACTCTTTCCATTTCCAGCCAGCGGACTGTTTGAGCATAGTAGAAGAGAATTATGGAAGGTATTCCTGTAACAGACTGTAAAGGACCATAGGGTTGTGAGATGTTGAGGTTCCCACATTTTCGAGATAATTGTCTCACAAATAGCGGTAATGTTGTTAGCCTTAAGCTCCGGCCACCCTTTACCCCCAAGAATATTCCTGGTACTCATTTCTGTTAGGGGTTGAGTAGACCCCAGGGCCATAGTGCGGCTGGAAAGATTAGGTCAATTGAAAAAATCAAATGATCTCGTCGGAATTCGATCCCGAAATTTTTCGGTTTGTAGCATAGTGCCTCAACCAACTACGCTACCGCGTAGAGCGAAGAAATACACTGTATAGGCGCAGTCCGAGCTTTATGCATACCGAGTTCCTCTGGAACGGAAGTTAGAAGCAATGGTTGCTGAAGTAAATGGCTTATTTAAAATTATTGACTACTTATTGATTCTCATTTCACTAAGGACGCCTTTTAAATGAATAGATTGTGTAGAGTTTTAACGGTAGCATGATTTTGAATGAAGATTTGCAGAGAAAGTGGCCATGAACTTAATTAAAGCATAATATGATTATCTACCTGCAGGGACTGGCAAAACCCACTCGCACAAGATCAGCAGGCGGCGCCTGTAAGCACGCTGACCGTTATACATTCCTAGTGCCCGCCAAAGTGATCACCCATTTTAAAGATCTACTTTAATAGGAACAGCGGCACGCAGTAGTGTAGTTGGTTGAGGCACTATGCTACAACCCGAAAGGTCACGGGATCGAATCCCGATGAGGTGGATCCTTCCAGCCGCATTATGGCCCTGGGGTCGACTCAGCCTCTAAGAGAAATGAGTACCAGGGATATACATGGGGATAAAGGGTGGCCGCCACGTAAGGCTGACAACCTCACCGCCATTTGTGAGCCGATTGTCTAGAAAATGTGTGAACCTCAACCTGAGGCCTCCACGGCCTGTTACAGGGATACCTTTACCTTACCTTAATTTAATAGGAACACACACTTTACTTCGATTGATTTCTGGACTCTCTTTGCAAGGTTTAAGATGCTACTGCAGTTTCTATTTCGAATTACGGGCTGGGAACACGAAACCGAAGAACCTCATTTCAGTTGAATCCGCACCTTGCTGTGAACGTGTCGGGAACTGCAAACGTGGAACGCTATAAATCACAGCGTCATTTCTAGCCCATTATCCCACTGGGTTTGCTATGTATGCGCTTCATGGTGACAGTGCGAAATGCATTCCCGACTATTGTTTATGCCTACATGCTTCAGTACCAATGCTGAACAATAACATGCTCATTACTCATCAAACATAATCTTCTGCATTATCTCTGTTCGCTTCCTTTCAGTGTTTTCAGTCAGACTTATATTGGGACTGAAATAAAATGTTACTGTCGTCTGGGATTTAAGGCCGTATAATCCTNTCTTCTACCCTGAAGATGGGGGCGATACGTTCCTCCGAAACGTCGGTTAACACCACATATACACGGTGCCAAATCCCAGACGACTGCTTTCTTCAGTCCTCTGAATGTTTACAGACGTTTCGGAGGAATTGAATGAAACCCTCTTCAGCGTATAAGAGTATATAAGTTTAGTGGTTCTGTGAAGTGGACGTCTTGGATTAACTTTCATGTAATTTCCAAATTCTTTTTTCGGTTTTTGAATAGCTCATTGACCATCATTTCCTTTATCTCAGATATACATTTTGTTTGCAAGCGTGTCGCACATAGCGAGTTCGTAAATTATTTATTTGCAAATATATTTGAATATTCACGATATAATTATCTGTTTTCAATAATAATAGAATAATTTCCCACATTTACCTCATCATACATTTAGACGAGGTCATTGGATATTTTTTTCAATTTACTTAATCCATCCAGCCGCACTATGGGCCTGGAGTCGACTCAGCCTCTATCAGAAATAAGTATAGGAATATTCTTGGTGGGTAAAGGGCGGCCGGCGCGTAAGGCTGACAACCTTACCGCCGTCTGTGAGCCGATTGGCTAGAAAATGTGGGAATCTCAACATCTCACTGCCCTATGGGTCTCCACTGCCTGTTACACGGATACCTTTACTTTTTTTTTTACATTTAGGTTCCTAGACATATTTTCGAATGTGTCGTGAAAGGAATATTAGTACTACAATTTGATAAAATTAAGCATAACCATGGAAGTGAGCGCTGAACGCTGTAATGGAAAACGTAAAGAAGGAAGGAAGATACCAAAAAGAAAAATCTGCAAAGGAAAATATGTTCTGCTCACTAAGAGTGTGGCTTGCATATGTCTTAAAATTCTGACTTGCGGTTGGGATCATAAATTCATGAATTACATGTCAGTCAACATTGCTGTTGTCTCTAAGTCAGTACCAGTTGTCTGAAACAACAGAAAATGTTTAAATCCAGCTGTGCGCAAATTTTATTGAATTGGGTATTATTCGCGCAATCTAGTGACATGTTTATGAACCGCATCCAGTAAACCTCTATTCTCCCTAACGTATACTTGTGTTATGCCCATAGACGTTTTACATTTCAGCTCATTGCTATAGTCAGTACCGGCTCTGACAATCTCCCATGTATCCGTGCATTTGTTGACAGACGAAATGTTTCCAAGATCGTGACATTGCTAATAGCTGACTGTTAATTCTTAGTGGGAATTTATTTCTTCTTTTCGCATACTTCACTAAGGAAGGAAGCGCCCTTTGCTCGTTAACGATGTTGAAGGCCATGCGACATGGAATAGCTGTTACACCGGCACGTTTTTTTTTTTTGCTTAGTGTTCTGCCATTAGGACATATCGTTAACCCATAACTCATCCCCACCCCTTGTGTCCAGCTACATTAGATATACCATTAACGTAAAACAGAAATAAATATATATATATATAGAAGTAAATACTTAAAGATAAAACTTTTTTACTGCAACAGTTTTAATTTCTTAAACTTTCACTTTTACGAAAGTAGTCATTACTGATAACCATGATCGTTTGTTTTGAATTCATTTGTATGACGTATTTTACTGCAGTTGAGGTAGTATAAACATCTTGCTTATAGACGGGGACGGTTCTGTGGCTGGACACTTAGGGAGAGCAGCTTTGAGGAGTATAAATCGGAAACCCCAAATCCATACAATAATACGGTTAGTATTATTTGTTTAAAAATGTAAAGCTATCCCTGTAACAGGCATGCATGATGGGTGTGATAAATGCATAGAATGAAAATCGGAAGGTGTTAGGTTGGCAGGCTTGCTCATATATCTAAGGTTCGAGTCTCCTCTCTCTCTCTCTGACTTCCATCTTGCAGCCATTAGTGGTGTAACATTCCAGCAAGTAGAGTACAATCTGTGAAAGTTCAGAGTTCTACTTGAATAAAGTAAATGTTAAATATTGCAATCCACTACAAACAATCATCATTATCAGGAGGTAAGCTCGAAAGAGAAGGGATGAGCGAGGTTTGAAAACCTAATCCAGGGAAGAATGATAATATTAAAATTGCCCTTAAGGAAACCCTGTTTTGAGAATGTGAACTGGGTGTATTTGGTTCAAGAAAATGTTCAGTCCACAGTAGCTAAAACTAAGATCCGTGACCTGTAGTCCACAAGCGAACTATACCGATCTAGCGCCCGCCGTTTGTCAGAGAAGTTAGTGCCAACTTTTGCGGATAAAGGGTGTCGCGTGGTCAGCGCAACAAATCCCCACGGCCGTTAATTTCGGTTTCCTAGACCGGAGTCGTTATTTCCTTGAAATAGCTCCTCAATTAACCTCACGAGGTTGAGTGGGCCCGGTTCCAGGCTCACTACTTCTCGGAATATCTGGAGAGGCCGGAAATCGAACCCGAACCTCTGGATCTGTAGCCAGGAACTCTGACCACTAGACCGCAGACGGTCCAATTCACAGTAGCACTATAATAAAATTTGGGTTCCGAAAATAATTGACGGGGCATTTCTTGACAAGCTGAATTACTAGCCAGTTTCCTTCTCCAAGAGTGGCTGTCTTCCGTGGAACTGATTTGCTAATTAGTTCACATCTTATTCTTTCTAAAAGACTTGCGGTGCGGCAAATCACTAAAATTTGCGAGAGAACTGCATTTCTTGTTCTGATGCTACGGACCAGAGGTCCCGGGTTAGTTTCCCGGCGCTACCAGATTTTATGAGAAGTAGTAGGTTCGGAACGGGGCCCACTCAGCTTCGTGAGGATAACTGAGGAGCTACTTGAATGGAAAAGTACCGGCTCCGGTCTAGAAAACTGAGATTAGCGGCTGCGGGGATTCGCTGCGCTGACCACGCGACACCCTCTAACCGCTAAAGTTGGCACTAACTTCGCCGACAAGCGGCTGTCTCTCGATCGATATATTTCGCTTTCGGACTAAAGCCAAGGAAACTTCATTGGTAATTATATCAAACTAATATTTATGACAAAAACATTAATATCATTATTACTGTATATCTTATTTGAATAGCCTTATTTTACTCTCAGTGCGCAGTGAGAGAAGCAGACACGGGTTTACGCCTCCGAAAAGAATTTCAGCTGAAACTGATACACGTGTTACGAATAGTAATGTTACGTTTAGATTAGCAGAACCGCACGTATAAATTTTCATCACAATACAGTCACTGGTTTCACGCTTACATGAAGTCACTGACGTATGAAATGGGACGTTCTCGACGATAAAAACGTTCCAGTTCTTTGTCTGAAGAAGGTATAGAGCTAAAAAATCTCTGTTTTCAGCGAGCAATACGGCGATTTTTTACGTAGTTTTTAAAGTAAATAAAATTGCTTTGTTCTACTTATTACATAAACACATGAATTGTTCAGAAATATGCTAGTAGTAAAAACAATTATTCATGCTCAGGAAAGTATATTTCATATATTAAAACTGATGTAGTTTGTCAACACAGAGTTTGTTACAAATGACACAAACAGAGCGTTGTTTCAGATGGAGTTCTATCTAATGCATCGTCATTTTCCCCTTCATTTGATGTCGCTTTTATTAATTAGTGACATAGGTCTCACCAGTACAGTGTTTGTAATCATTTAACTATTTTACAAATGTATACTTCAATTTTAGATATATTTTATGTAATAAATTTTATTTTATATGACGTTATGTTCGTCAGTTTATGTCAAAAGTCGCACCCTTTATTGCTTAAAACGTTTTAATCATTTCTCAGTATTATATTTAATTGCCTTCATTTGAAGTAACGTTTTGGGTCGAGATTAATTTTAGGCGCAGAAGCAAGAGGGTTTTTATCTCCCATTGCATCGACAGGCGAGTTTGAAGTAACACTGTCATACTGAGCTTGCGAAGATGCCGTTTCTGGAGAGCTGCTGCTAATGTCTGTCATATGAAATGGAACATACATAGCTGCAACATTTCCCATAGGTGAGGTCTCCATATATTCCAACATGGAGGAGTCATGAGGTTCAACATGATCCTTCACCACCATTGGAGTATGATACGATGATGTACCTTGGGGACGATTCTTTACAAGTTGTTTCATTGCGTGAAAAAAGTATTTATCATGTTTATCACCGTCCGAATATAACTCAGGGGGACCATACATTTCTTTTGGAGAGAAGCCATACATGGCCATCGGAAAATCTGATCTATTGTATTCTATATATACTTTGTTATACTCATAGGGTTTCATTGCGTGATTGTTGTGGTAATCCAGTGGTGACATTTGTTCGTTTTGTACGGACATTGGAACAGCGTGATTTTCAAAATGATGATGATGATGATAATGATCATCACCATATGATTGATATTTATGCTGTTTTTCTCCGGACTGACTATAAAAGTACGGTGGTGACATTTGCATGTTTTCTGCAGGTGTTGCGTCAACGTATGCCCTGTGTCTTTCATGATAATGATCAGGCCGATAATTCTGCGGTGGATGTACAAACGAAGAATAGCCATATTCTTCATATGTGTTGTGGTGATGCTTATCAAACATGGGATACTCATAGTGTTGTGGGGAATGAAGCGAAACACGTGGTTCTCCTGCCATGTCTGTGCTTGGATAATAGTATTCTTTTGGTGGAAGAAGGAATTCTTCGGGCATAAAGGCTGTATGCTCTTGATGGTGGAAATTCATTCTGTTATTTGCTGTGTATGCATGGTGTCTCTCAAAGGTATTATCTGAAAAGAAGAAAAACATTAAATTCGATTAAGGTAAATTTGACTCATGTGTGGGGTTACTGTGAGCAATGTATACAGTTTTACAGCGCAGGTTATTTGGAAAAACTCTCCTTTTCTCGGCAAACAAAAAATTGGAAGAATTTGTGATTTTGTTTCTGTATATAAGGAAATCCGCCACTGGCCAAAATTGAAACCTTTAACAAGCATTTCTAAATTACACCTTCAGTATGAATATTTTTTTTAATTCGCATAATGGGGGGTGGAGTCCAGCTAGATTCACTCGGCACGGTGGCCACTGATTGGTCTATTGTAGCCTGCCCCGGGTGATTATGATGATGAAGAATTTGGTGGAATGAAGATTGGCAGGGGAAACCGAAGTTCTCAGAGAAAACCTTCCCCAGCGCCACTTTGTCCACCACAAATCCCACTTCACCAGACCCGGAATCGAACCCGGGCCTTCGCGATGGGAAGCCAGCAACTAACCGCTTGAGCTATGGCGCGGCCTTTCAGTATTAATAAGTCAGCTCCCCTCTTTTCTTAGATCCGAAAGCGTTCGGACGATGGTGTGTAACACTCAGAATTACTGTTTTTTTAACTTTTTTCGTCATCCGGTGTTCTAAAAACCAGAGAACCCGACACTTCTGAAACTGAATATGTTTCCGTCCAGACGTGAGGAGGAGACACCTGCTCTGTTCGGTCCCTTAGAAAGAGGTGACATCTATCGCTGGATAACCTGTATCAGGATAACTGCAGATATATGAACACCGAAGACTAGGCTTTGCTTGTGCGAGATAACACGGGAAATGTAAAATAAGAAGTTGTTGCATGCATAAACTAATATAGAAATGGAGGTGAAAATTTCATGCAAAAACCCTAGGCAAGAAAAGTTTCTTTTTCTCAGTTTCAGGTCCGTGCTTGCTTTATCACAATTTTTATTTTACATTTTTTCGGCTATCTCCCGTTGACAAAACCTGGTCTCAGGTATTTACACAGTAGTAGTTGTATTGGCATACTTTGTCCAGTGATTGATGTTAGCTCTTTCGAAGGGACCCAACAGAATAAGTGCCTCCCCCCTGATCTGAGGGCAGAAACAGATGCAGATTCCGAAGCATTGTGTTCTCTAGTTTTTTTAGAATACCGGACGTTGGGCAAAGTCCAAAACCCAGTAATTCTGAATCATTTTTCTCCATTATGAGTACACCCAAACGAACCCTAGGCTAAAATTTTGAGAGAAGCCACAGTCGCATCCACAGATGTATTTTTCGGTGACCCCTGAAAGCTAAATAATGCTTACAGTTCGTACGTCATCCGCCGTTAAATAAACCTCAGACGGAACCTCACGTAGAGTGCTTTGACCATCCGGAACATCAGAATCTCATTAACAGGTCTGTATCGAAATATCTTACGCAGTAACTGCCTTCTAAAGCGGCCTCCGTAGTCTAGAGGTAACGTTCCCACCTCACGACTCGTGGTACGCGGGTTCAAATACCCGGCGGAGGTCGTCGAATTTTTAAGGGCGGAAAAATTCAGGGAACAAGTCCTCCGGGAGGGACTTTAATCTGTGTGTCCCGTGTCGTAACTTTACGGCACGTAAAAGAACCTCATATCCCCAAAGGGGATCACTGAGCCAAATTCCAGGACGTTTCCCGCCCAACAACAGTTTCTAAGGCCTCCGATAGAAGGGTGAAGCATTATAGATACCGCTACGCAAGTGGCCGAACTCGCTTGCTCGGCCTACCATTTATCGGTAGGGTAAAGAGACTGGTAGAATATCATAGAAGGAAGCACAATAGATCAAACTGGTCGCGGTGCATGGGGAAACCCACCCTCTCTAACTAACTAACTAACTGCATTCTAAAAGAAGTTATTGAAGGAAAGATAGAGGAGCAGATAGAAGTGACCAGAAGACGAGGAAGAAAACGTAATAAGATGCTGGATGATCTTGGGGACAGAAGAGGATATTTTCATTTGAAGGAGAAAGCTCTAGATCGCATCAAGTGGAGGAACTGTTTTGGAAGAGACTGTGGACCTGTCGTCTTGACAGATTACTGATGAATGAATGACGAAAGATGATTATTAAACTTAACACAGTATCACTATACTTGTATTTCAAAATGAGGAGTGCGCTGAAGCAAAGTACATACACTAGCACGCTTCTAGTTTTCTGCAAGTAATTTTTTGACTAGCAGAAAGATCATTAGTTTTTCAAGATGGATTTTTCTCCATGGAGTTAATTAGTTATTCGCTGAAATTAAATGTATGAATACTGTTCTGCTGTGTTAGGTGGAACGCAAGATTTCTCCCCCAGTTATTGAACTTGATGTCGATTTCTGTGTACAATGTAGGATAGAGGCGATCGGTGTAGTGGTCATGCATAATTTAGATTTCTGGGAAATAACTCTTTCATATGCAAGTTTAAATAGTAAATATTATTTACTAAAGCCTTTTTTTCGTCCACACAGCAATTAATAATGTGATATGAGAAATATCCAGCTAAAAGTTTCGACATTAGAACGCCATACCCATGCTTTCATACATTTTCATTCCACGTAATTACTGAGTTTTATACAGGAGTATCATTATAAATTGCCTGTTAATTGTTTAATTATTCTTTACATTGTTTATAATATATTGTTAAAATGCAATATAATAGACTTAAGAACTTACTTACTTACTCATGGAGCTATGCTCTTGTTGAGGAGCCGCCAATTCTGCAGCAACTCAAGAATTTACCAGCATTTTATCGAACCCGAAAGTTCATTACAGTGTTGACAAGAGCCTTTCATTGGTCTCTGTCCTGAGTCAGATCAATCTAATCCATCCCATCACATCTCTATGAGATCAATTTTAAGATTGTCCACCCACGTACGCCTGGGCCTTCCCAGTGGTTTGTTTCCTTCTGGCTTTGTCACCAATATCCTACATCATTTCTCTCCTAACCCATTTATGCTACATGACCTGCCCACGTCATCCTCCTCGACTTGATCATTCTAATTAAATAGATTTAAGAACAATAAATATAATATAATATAATTATTCTTACATGCACTAATTGCATATGATTTAGTAATAAAACTATTTTAAATCGGTGGATCTTATAGGCAAAATTGTGTTAGGTGGCCCCTTACTGCTCTCTTCTGATATACTCCCAGTTCTCTATGTTCATAGTAGTACACGTCTGGTATGTTAAAACAGGAATTTCAGGCTCTTATAATAATTTAAGTAGCCGGGTTTTGCTGGACTGAAAAGCAGAAGCAGTTAGTACTCAAAAATATACATTACATGAATGGACTTCAAACGATGTACGTACAAGGAAAGAATTTGAAGTTAATACAAAGGCACCTTTTATTTATGATTAATTTAATTAAGTAATGTACGTTGTATTGAAATTAACATCCGTATGGATTCGTTGCTCCGACCGCGCGAGACCCTCTATCCGTTAAAATTAGCACTAACTTCGCCGATAAGCAGTGGTCACTCTCTCGGTATAAGTTCTCTTGCGGACCAAAGTCACGGAGTTTGTTATGTTTTATCCGTTGTATTGAAAGATACTACAATAAATAAGATTCAATGTCTGACACTTTCGAACACCTCTTTCATAGTATGGTTTGTATGACTACAATCACTGTATGCGCAGAGTAAAGTGATACGATCACATGACTTACCTTCAGGGAAATGTGGACGTCCCGTAGTTCCCTGCAAAAGAAATGAAGACTGTAAGGATCGACTCTGGAGCGCTTATGAAACAGTTTTGTCAGTCTATTGAGGACACTGCTTGAGAGATAGACTTCAAAGGATTCTGAAGATGGTGTATATTGTACAGAACTATAAGGTTTATTTTGGACTCTATCCATCGTCTGGTATATATAAAAAAAACCACAACTTTTCGGAGACAGGATCTGTCTCCGTCCTCAGATGGACGGGTCAAGATAGATCCCCCTCAACAAAGAAGAAGTCAACAAGTCAAAATGAAAGTTTTTATGAAAATCAGTCTCTTCCGCTACATGCGCTAGTTTCGCTCTGGAGTTTAGGCTTATTTCGAGAAGTCACCATGGTGGCATGATTCTTTATCTGCATAATTATCTATACATCCTCTATATATTTACCCTCCTTTTTAACTTAATTCCTGGAACTTAATCCATACCACTGTTTTATCACATGTTTGGCAAGTGCATGCTTGGCACAAAAGTTTTAGTTTGTCCTTTATTGTGATTTTATTCTTATCTCCCACTGATGGAACCTGTTGTCAAGGGTTTATAGGTTGTTCTCTATGGACCGGGGTTTGTCCAGTGATTGAGACAACTCCTTCTAACGGGCCCATCCATCTGAGGACGGAGACAGATTGAGTCTCTGAAACGTTGTGGTTTTTTGTCTTAAATATACCAGACTATGAATATAGTCCAAAATAAATCTTATAGTTCTGTACTGCTTGAGAGGTTAATTTGAAAGAGTGATATGGGAAGGTGACAAGTACAAAAATAGGAGCTATTGTAAACATTTCTTAGGAGTTTCAATTTGCAAACGCTCCGCAATATAGGGCACAAGTGAGGTTTAAATTATCTACGAGTAATTATAATACGAGAAAGATGGTTTGCAGAATTTATATCCCTTCACATACCAGGACATTGTTTCGAAATCCAGTGCGTTCAGTTAAGGAGGAAACTTCCCAACACCACACTGACCCAGCCGAACATTCCTCACAGATTGCTACTGTCACTACCGAAAGCAGAATGAGTTATTATCGCTGATAAACGAGCGCTGTTATAGCTACAGTTACAGCAGCAATCTGTGAGGAATCTTGGGCCCGGTGAACGGCGTTGCGAAGTTTCCTCCATGATTGAACACCCTGTATAATCATATTAGTTGATTCCTATGTTATATCGAGGTTTTCATTAGAAAATATTTGTAAATTACACTATATATTTGTTTGTTACAAACCGTAGTCAGATTAATGTAAAACAATTTATCATTAGAGGAAAATTATTTTTGTATCACTTGTATAGAGTCATACACACAGACCTGGTATTGGCTATAACACAATATTAAAATGGACTTACTTATAGAACTATGATGAATAAATATGGCCTTTAATATTATGAATATTACATACATCTATAGTACATCTTGTATGAGATGTGTACACATAGTAGCTAGTCTGGTGATGACGTGCTTGCGTCTAAACACGTAACCCAATAGAAAAGCATTAAATATTACAAGTTTATTTCGCTTATATAAGAAATGTATTGAGCTTACCCGAAGGACGAGCAGTGCCAGCAAAAGGTACGGTCCCATCATCGCTGTCTTCGCAAGCATGTCTGCCTTCTGAATCTCTGTCTGAAACCTTATATTGACTCCTCCTTGTCGCTAAATGACACGACCTTAACCATCAGGCAGTGTTACATATCGTGGCTGCCCGAAAGTCTCTCTGTTCGGTTCATAAAACCCGCAGGAGCGGAACAAAAGCTTGGATTCATTGCCCATTTATGAGGAGCTCTTAAACGCTTCACGCTTCTTATTAAGAAATACTGACACGAGGCATGTTCGAACGTTTCCTTACAATAAAAATCGGATTATATTTATTTAGTATCCCGGTTTCTATTCGCTACATTTTCCCGTGAGAGAAAGTATGTGGTTTTGAAACATATAGGTATACATTCTCTACTCTAAAATTAAATTGTAATAACTGAAGTAATTAATATATTCATTTCTTATCTCATACTAATATTTTGTTTCAGCAGAATTTTAATTTTATTAATACTTCACTCACTGTCTCTAACGGAACTCAGACATTCAACATCGCTAATACCAAAGCCCACTCCATCCATCTTCAATTTTGTTCTCCCATAGTTGTCCCAGCCATTCAAATGACTGTGTCCCAAAATATGTCTCCTTCAAAATTCTTACGCGTCCAGTTTTCCCCCCATCCTGTGTAAATGATCAGTCACTCTTAGCCACTTATGTCTGCTCCTCCAGTATACCTTCGTGGTCCATCGTGGTAATATGGTGTACCATGTAAGTTGATAAGAATAAATATTTATTATATGAGAAAGCGCGTTTCTCGACAGCATCTGTGATATAGTGGTCAAAATGCCTGGCTACAGATCCAGAGGTCTGGGTTCGATTTCCGGCGTTACCAGATTTTCTGAGAAGTAGTGGGTCCACTCAGCCTCGTGAGGATAATTGAGGGGCTATTTCAAGGAAATAGCGGCTCCGGTCTAGAAAACCGAAATTAACGGCCATGAGGATTCGTTGTGCCGACCACGCGACACCCTCTATCCGCTAAAGTTGGCATTAACTTCGCCGACAAGAGGCGGTCTCTCAGTCGGTGTAATTCGTTCGCGGACTAAAACCACGGAGTTTTTTTTTTGAAGGCGCGTTTTTCTTTCTCTCTCGCTCACGCACACACACACACACAAAATACATCATAAAATATTTATGCCCTTGTATTCTAAATATATATCAGAAATATTATTGTTTTATAGTTTACCTAGCGAGATATCACTGAACAATAAAATTTTAATGGTCCCGAGTAAGATCGTGGTAACATAGTAAACCTTTAGAGCGAATGGATGCCATGGTTGTAGAGAGTGCTGATTCTTCCAGTAGGTGCTTCTGCCAAAAATAGTCTTTGTATCGTCGCTGTCGTCATAGTTATGTAAAAGAATGCTTATTTAGAAGAAATTTGACACCTGTAAGTTGCATTTTTCGCTCTCGAATGCTGTGATGGTATGGCTGAATCTGAATACGTGAAGCCCCTAGTACCCATAAGCAAGCATTGATTGAAATTATTAAGTAGAGTGACAACTGCATGGAGAATATTGATTTTGTTGAAACATTTTAATCAGAATATGCGATATACTGTAAAGTCACAGCTAGTACTAAGTACGAGGCATGAACTGGCTTCGCTCGATGGAACAATGGGATCATGGGTTCAAATCCCACTCAAGGCATGGACTACTGTTTTGCGTTTATTCTGTTTTTGTGTTAGGTAGCGGCCTTGCGACGGGCTGATCCCCCGTACAAGGAATCCTATCGACTGTCTAAGATTAAGACACTGAAGTAAGACGATGGTTTCACCGATGCCCCCACGCTCCAAGTGGAAACAACAGTAATAGGAGAATATGATTAGTAAGTAGTACGCAATTAACATGCAGATTGACACAGCCTCTTCATGAGATGACCCAGTTGACGCAGAGACAATGCTTGACATTCAGTCAATTCATTTTTGCGCAGTTCTAAAAAACACTCGGACATACGAGTAGTTTTCCTCAGTGCATCTTTTCGAACCATTTTTACAGTCTTTGGGTTAACGTTATCTTTCATCTTGACCAAAAACTGAACGGTTAGTTCTGTCTAAGAAAATAATGACTGTTTATTGTGAGAATCATACGAAGCCCATAAATAATTTATATCATCGGAATGTGAACAGGTTACTAGTGACAAAGTAATAAAGTAACGGTAACCTTGTAACAGGCCGTGGAAGCCCATAGCGTGGTGAGACGTAGAGGCTGCCACACTTTCTAGACAGTCGGCTCACAGATGGAAGTAAGGTTGTCAGCCCTACGCGCCGACCGCCTTTACCCCCCAAAACATTGGAAGAATATTCCTGGTACTCATTTCTGTTAGAGGCTGAGTCGACCCCAGGACCATAGTGCGGCTGGAAGGATTAGGTCAATCGAAAGAAATCTAATGACTTCATCGGGACTTCAACCCGCGACCTTCCAGCTTGTGGCATAGTGCCTCGACCAACTACGCTACCGCGTGGGCCCACTAATAAAGAAGTACGACAAAAATATACTGTTATGCTTGAAATGTCTAGTTAACGAGCAAGAAGACGAACAATTTTGTATTTGGCTAATAACATGCATTCAAGCACAAAATGTTAATTTTAATTTACAAAGTCGCGTTCCTTAGTAAAAGAATTTGATTCGAAAACTTGCACTTATTTCTCACACACGCTTCATAGGTCACAGATTTCTATTATTTTGAAATCAACTGTTACATTTGGGGTGCCAAGAAAATGTCATTTCAATCCATTGCCTCCACACATGATTAAAAGTCAATTGAAACTGGTGAAGTTGGTCTGTAGAAAATTGATATTTTACTTTTGGACAGCTCGAGGACGTCGCAGTATTTCCTTATAAAAATAGTGTGTATGCAGTTTTGTTTAGCGAGATAATTTTAAAAATTACTAAAAGTAATAAAAATTACATCAGCCGTTTTTCGAGATAGTCGCATTTTTATGTTTAGGGTGGTCCATGGGAGTGGCCATGTTCTTTTGGAGTTAAAATGTTCATGTTCACCGAGAACGGACCTATGACGGTAAACTCTTGAATTTTGTATATGAATAAACTCCATCTGATCGTTAAGACCCTAGCAAGGCGCACGGGCAAAGAGGTAGACAGACAGATGACATTCCAAAAAAAAAAATTCACAAGTTCGGGGAGCTAAAAAAATGAAACCCTTCAAAATCTCGAGCGCGATTCTTTACGCAGTCACATTAATTTTTCATACAACTTGCATGAGAAAGTAAAGATGCTTAAGGACAAAATCCACGAAAATATTAACAGAGACTCGCTTAATAAATATGATAATACACGTTTATCCTGTATACGTTGCGTACCTATATTAGAAATGTCAATATAGTGACCTTTTATTTTGAAAAGCTATTAATTTTAAGTAAAAACTGCATAATGAGGTGCTTCATAACTTGTACTTTTCTTAGAGTATAATTACAATGATCAGGTCAAGGAGAATGAGATGTACAGGGCATGTAGCACGAATGTGGAGAAGAGGAATGCATATAGGATAGTGGTGGGAAAGCCGGAAGAACGGAGACCACTCGGAAGATCAAGATGTAGATGGGTGGATAATATTAAAATTGATCTTGGAGAGACAGGATGGGATAGTATGGATTGGATTGATCTGGCTCAGGATAGAGACCAGTGGAGGGCTCTTGTGGACACGATAATTAACCTTCGTGTTCCATAAAATGTTGGGAAGTTCTTGAATGGCTGCACAACTGACAGCTTCTCAAGAAGGGCTCAGCTCCATGAGTGAGTGAGTGATTTTTATTAATGCTATAATGCCATACTCTGATAACATAATGTAATTGTGCGTGGTATACATTAATATTCTTTAGAACATACTTTTCTTTACGTTAATAGTGCCCTGTGACTTTTATAAATACCAAATGGACATAAAATTGTAATATAATAGCATATCTTAATGGCAGCTGTTGAGTCATTTTCTTGCATGCTTATCGACACTTGGACACGTGTACACGCTGTTCTCTTTCTATGGGGTGGAAGGAAGCAAACTGAAAATTTGTAAAAAAAAAAAAAAAGGAGCCCCGGAAAATATTTGGATTTAAAAGGACAAAGTGGAGAGACAGGGACATTACATAACGCAAAACTCTTTTATTTATACAAGTCATGTAATTACACTTACAACAGTGATGTAAGAATTGGTTGGACATGTAGACTAATTTGAATTCGCAATGTTTGCAGTGTATTGCTGAGAAACTTCTGGGAAAGAAGACCGTGGGAAAGTTGAAGGAGATAACATTAATGCTGATCTTAGAAAATATATTTTGAAAGTAGGACGCGGGTGGAAATATCTCATCCTTCCCGTAGCTGCAGCTGATGTCTCATTATGAAATATGTCACACCGATGTCGTAGATTTATTTTCATGTTGACTCTAATACGAATGACTTGCGGAATATTAAAGCAGAAGCCACGTCGAAGCGCATTAACTTTGCCTCAAGACGGGCCTATCTAAGAAACAAATGTTGTGAACTTCAGTGTTATTTAAAATGTATAACAGCGTGAAAGATTATTTAGAGATGATGCTGATAATATACGAGTCTCTGTCGTAGAGCACGTGATAATTTATAAATTGGGATAATATACTTTATGCAAAGGAATATTTTATTATGAGATTTATTACAGCCGAAACTCATACGACAATTCGTAATTTTTTTTTACTTTTTATTTATATATGCCTGTATGTTAATGGATGAAACCTTTGGGCTTAAGTTTTAAACAAATTATATAAAAAATTGCACAGTGAGTGATTATGAAAGAGAAGACGTTTTTAAGACCGAGTAGTTTCTAGATTAACAAGCAGCGAATTATCCGGGTTGCAGATTACCCGAGGGATCTGTTTATAAAAGAGATTTGTGTGTCAGATCTCATGAAATAAAAATTTGTGTGAAATTACTTTTAATAAAGAAAAAAATAAAAGAAACTCCGTGACCTGTATCCAGCAAGGATACCGACCGAGCGACATTCGCTTGTCTTCGAAGTTAGTGCCAACTTTTGCGGATAGAGAGTGTCTCGAGGTCAGCGCAACGAATCC